TGTACAATTTGCCGAAGGGTATGTATGTGGTCTATGGTGCTAAAGCCCTTTCGGAAACCGGCTTGTTCGGGAGGCTGGAAGTCGTCAAGTCTGCGCGCGAGACGATTCGTAATGACTCTCGAAAACAGCACGTAGACGCGGCTCAGAAGGGAAATCGGTCTGTAGTTCTTCAAGAGAGCGTTGTCACCTTTCTTGAAGAACAAGACCACCGCACTTCTGCTTCACGCCTCCGGTGTAATGCCACCATGGAGGACGGAATTAAAGAGCTTCTGAAGGACTTCAAGTACCGGTCTTCCACCCGCTTTCAGAAGCTCCGCTGTAATTCCATCCTCGCCTGGGGCCTTACCGTTTTTAAGGTGCTGGAGAGCCATTCTAATCTCGCTCAGACTGACGTCCGGGATATCTTCGGAATAGTGTCGGATGAGACTCGCTCTTGGATCGTTACTCACATTTGCGTGTGGCTCCAACGATGACGTGTACAGCTGCCCATAGAACCTCTCAATCTCACTCAAAATCTCAGGTGTCCCGGAAACGATGCTGCCACATTCTGTCTTCAGCTTTGACAGGTGGCTCTTTCTGACAGACAGATCTCTGGCAAAGACTTTGGAGCCTTGGTTCCGCTCGATCGCTTCTTCAATACGAGCTGTATTGAAGTTGCGTAAGTCCCGCCGCATGCATTTGGAGATCTGTCTGTTCAGATGCCTGTATGCTGTCAAGTCTGTTGAAGAATGTAGCTTCATCTCCCGTCTAACAACCATGAGATTAAGAGTGTGATCGGAGAGTTTTTGTGTTCTTCTGCGGCGGGTCTTGCAGAACTTAGCTCCGACCGCATGGACAGTTTCCACGAGCTTGTCATTCATATCGTCCACTTCATTGCAGTCTTCTAGGCACTGAAAACGGTTTTGTAACTCGAGCTGAAAGGTTTCGGGACTTTGGAACAGAGCACGAGGGGGACGGAGCGTTGACTTCATTAGACGAGACCTCTCCAACTTAACGTTTAGGTTCAGTGTGCCTCTAACCATTCGGTGATCGCTACCAGTTTTCACCCTCGCGATCACAGTTTACTCTGAGCGTGACAATTGAAAGTCATTGAGCATTGTGCAGCACTATAAAAGTTAGGGCCCTGTAATGTCCATCCTAGCCTCGTCTTAATAGCTACTAAAGGCCCATCTAATTGTACAATAGTGCCCGTACAAATTACTCCTAAATAATCAGCTCCTATTAACATATTTACATCGCTAAGGTCACAGTCACTGTCGTCAATACTTATATTCAGTGACTTTAACTTTGACCTTAGCTTGGGATCGTCTGCTTTGGGAAGATAGCCACAAATGTCGTCGAGTTCGAGAGCAATGAATTTTGTAGAGAAAGAAGAATCTAGACTACTTACATTCACTTCGACAAGGCTGTGGTTTTCTGCTGGCTTAGTAACACCACTAAATAGTGAATAACCTAAATTCTCTATACCTACTACCTTAAGGCCTAACTCTTTTACTACGTTTTTCCTAATATACGACCTTTGCGATCCAGTATCACACAGAGCACGTATTTTCTTCTTTTTACCCTCATGTGAAACCTCTAAAATCAAAGTCTGTAATAAAATATTTCCGCCTTTCCTAGAGAAATGTGCTGTCGCTTCTTTGGGTTCCTTTTGTTTATCCCTATGAAGGTCCGGACAAAATATCACTACATGACGTTTACCGCAGGCTATACATTTTAAAAACCTCTTGCAGTGCTTAGCTACGTGACCTTTACGTAAACAAATTAAACAACCCCTCTTATCTTTGACAGCGGCTCCCTTTTCATCTAAAGACATTTTGAGCCCTTTATTACATTGAAGAATCGAATGAGATGTATTATCACAAAAATAGCAAAAGTCATTACCTGTTTTACTGGAACTTGTCTCCTCTTTCGAAACGATGCAAGCTGCTGTCGGCGGCATATCAACACTGCTGGAAGAACTATAAGTATTAAAGTTAGCGCGCGTCAATTTAATGTGTTCCTCAGCCTCGGCTTCTCGTTTTAAGAACTCTAAAAGTTGCGTTAATTGACCAACATCGTTTACAATTCTAGTTCGATTCCAAACAATTAAAATATTTTCAGGTAAAGCTGATTCGACTAATGGATACAACATCGCTCCGTACTTTTTTTTTTCCGTTGTTACTTTGAGTGACTCTAAAGCGTGCAAATGGGTCATCAACTGGTCGTAAAGCGATCTTATATCCATATTTTGTCCCTTAGCCTGACATAATACGAGACCTAGCAGCTCTCTCACATACGTCTCGATGAGGATATCTTCTTGAGCAAATCGTACCTGTAGCTGCTCCAGCGCTCTTGGGTAATTCTTGCCAGACGGAGGGTAGCTAGTTACGAGCTCTCTGTTTTGGACCCCTCCTTCATAGCCTGTATGAGATACTGGAACTTATCTTCTGGTTCAAGAGTCTCGTCCTCGTGTATCTTTTTGAACTGTCCCCAGAAAGATAACCACGTCTTCGGATTGTCATCGAATTTTATGAGCTCGATATTCGGTAGCTTTATGTTTCTCTTCTGATGAGATCCGTCAGTAGCCGCTGAAGATGTATTTGCTCTATCACATTCCTTTCGTAATTTTTCAATCTTAACTTTTACTGCATAATACTTTTTAAATACGATTCGCATTCGTCACATTCTTCATCAAATTGCTCATCCGTGCAAGAATCGATCGTCATATTTTTTATTTGACTGTCAAAAGATTTTAACTCTTCCAATTTCTCTACAAGATACTGAAATTCGACAGTCATCTGCTCAATATCATTCGACTCCTCTATCTCTCGCACTGACCTGATGAATACTCGACGTGTGTATGCCCTTTTACGCCTCATAGCGTCGAGTTCGGTTTGTCCAGGTCTATCCGCTTTCAAGGTCGCCATTATGTGGGGAGTTTCTGTATGACCGTTGTATGTAGCTCCTCACATTGAAATAAGAAGATTTCTTAGACTTGAAACATTTAATCTTCTAACAAAAATATACTTATTACGAAAAACTAGTCTTACATTTTTCTTGTTATTTTTTCGTAACCATGACAACAACTTACAAGATATAAAAAAACCTAAAAGGGTCGTAGACAATATTTATTTATCCTCAACAATTACCATTCCAGGAATGTTCAAATAGTAAGTAAAATTATTCTGAATTAATAATAGTATTTAATATTTATAATTTGGTAATCATTAAACTTACTTAAATATATATAAAATCTTTTCAGATATGTGATAGTGATTTAAATATAATAAATATAGATGCTTCTTTTGGTGGTGCTACACATGATGCTCATATTTGGAAAACCTCTCAAATATCACAGCATCCGCAAGAGCTTCATAATAGAGGAGAGGCTGTATGCTTACTTGGTTTGTAGAAATACCATATTAATTATAAAAAAATACTATCATTATATAAATATTCTCATTCAATAATTAACTAAAATAAATTTACAGGTGATTCTGGATATCCATTAAGACCTTGGCTTTTAACTCCAATTGTAAATGCTGAACCTGGTAGTGCATATGAGCATTAAACTAATATGCACTGTCTCACAAGAAACACTGTGGACCGGTGCATAGGAGTCTTAAAAGCACGTTGGAGATGTTTACTGGCACATAGGGTACTGCATTATAACCATCACATGGTGGCTAAAATTATAAATCCCTGTGCTGTCTTGCACAATATCTGCAACAGACATCGACTGCCTATACCTCAGTTGCCAAGCTCTAACATACTGGAAGACCAGAATAATCCAATTCCTCAGCAACCACTGCAGGTTGTCGGGGTTGGTGCAGAACAACAGCTCTTAGCTAGTGGTCGACTACAAAGAGAAATTATTGTGCGACGATTATGGTCTGCTCCTAGGCCATAATATTTATAAAAATAAATATATTATTAAATATACAAGATATATAAGCTTAAAGAATTCTTTTATATACATATTATTTTCTACCGACTTCAAACAGGAGGTACTCAATTCGACTGTATGTTTTTTTATGTGTGTTACCTTATAACTTTTTTCTGGGTGAACCAATTTCGATGATTCTTTTTTTTATTTAAAAACTGGTGCTTAACATGTGGTCCCATATAAATTTGATCAAGGTCTGACCAATACTTTTTGAGTTATTCTTACTAATTTACCTAGTCACACTTTAAAAAACTTTTTTAGAATGCTGGCCACAAAAAAGTTTATTGAATTCGAATTTTGAATTGTTCATGCAAATAAAACTGTATACTTTTTAGAATTTTACTCATTTTTAAATATGGAGTGGACGCTTAAAGAAGACCGTGTTGCAGTTATTGCGTTGCATCGTTGCGGTTACGCGCCAATCCATATTTTTGACATACTGAAAAATTTGAATATAACCAAAAGATTCGTTTATCGTACCATCAAACTATACAATGAAGACTCTAGTGTAGATGACAGGTCAAGAAGTGGTCGCCCTCGGTCTGTTAGGACTCCAGCAGTGATAAAATCTGTGAAGGCGCGAATTCAAAGAAATCCCAAACGTAAGCAGAAAGTGTTGGCCCTTCAGATGGGGTTAAGCAGAACCACGGTGAAAAGGGTGTTAAATGAAGACTTAGGGCTTCGGGCATATCGAAGAAAAACAGGACATCGTTTGAATGCTCGTCTAATGGACCTGAGGCTGAAGAGATGCCGCGCTTTGTTGAAGCGGTACGCGGGAAAAAAATATCGGGAAATTCTTTATTCGGATGAAAAAAATTTTACCGTAGAAGAGAGCTACAACAAACAAAATGATAAGGTGTACGCACACAGTAGTGAAGAAGCGAGCAACCGTATTCCGCGTGTCCAACGAGGTCATTTTCCATCGTAGCTCATGGTATGGTTGGGAGTTTCTTATTGGGGCTTAACAGAGGTACATTTTTGTGAGAAAGGTGTAAAAACGAATGCAGTTGTGTATCAAAATACAGTCCTGACGAACCTTGTGGAACCTGTTTCTCATACCATGTTCAATAACATGCACTGGGTATTCCAACTAGATTCGGCGCCAGCTCATAGAGCGAAGAGCACACAAGACTGGCTGGCGGCGCGTGAAATCGACTTCATCCGGCACGAAGACTGGCCCTCCTCCAGTCCAAATTTGAATCCGTTAGATTACAAGATATGGCAACACTTGGAGGAAAAGGTGTGCTCAAAGCCTCATCCCAATTTGGAGTCACTCAAGACATCCTTGATTAAGGCAGCCGCCGATATTGACATGGACCTCGTTCGTGCTGCGATAGACGACTGGCCGCGCAGATTGAAGGCCTGTATTCAAAATCACGGAGGTCATTTTGAATAAACTTTAGTGTCATAAGAATCTATGTTTTGTTAAGTTCATTTTGGTATATAAATGGTTACATAATGAATAAACTTGTTTCAACTATTTTATATTAAACATGTGACAGAATTTATGACCTGACTAGGTATATTGAATTCGGTTGTACAAAATTTTTAATTATGTATCAACGGCAAGTTTTATCATTACCGTTAGTCTTCTGTTGAATATAGGCCTCCCCCTAGATTGCCTCATACGCATATATTTAGGGGTATATTTGCCGTAGTTGCCAGGCTTGGCAAGCGGCTTAGCAACTCTTTTTTTATTATTTATGTGCTCATTATAAGGAAGACACTGCGGCCCATCTGATTTGTTTCCCATTATTATATTGCTTATAATACTGTTTATTTTTTTAACTATTTGTTCTAATATGCAATTTCTTTACCTTTAAAATGTGTAGGCATTGTTTTTAATCTTGTATATTAATAATTTTATTTAATATGTAATGGCGTTACTTTTTTAATGTCTATGGATATATTTTGTTTAATTCCTAATCATTTTGCGTTTATATATTATTCTTATTATAAACATTTAACATCCCTCACTCAGAGGATGATTTTATATTGAATTTGGATTAATTTATGTTTAATTTCAGTAAGCACCAGTTGCTATAACAGAGAAAAACATTTAAGTGGTGGTTCCTTAATATTAGCCAACAAATTGTTTTTATCTTAAGAATGTAAAGATATTGTGAGCCTCTGTTGAGAGAACAGTAGAAATAGCATGTGTTGATTTCGAGCACCTCATTGTTGTTAATGTTTACAGACCCCCACAGTCTTTTGAAAAAAATATGGAGGAAGTTTCACTCAGGCTTAATAAACAGAATAAATGTTATCATATGTGGAGACTATAATATCAGTCTCCTTGAAACTTCTTCTATGAGTATTAAGCACATTCAATCTTGTGAATTCGTCTTTAGAGCCAAAACATATGGCAAGGCGTAGTGCAACTTGTACGTTACAGTTTTACTGATGTTGTGCCCTTACATAAACTAATTACCAACATGTATTGCAGAGCCTATCGTAACTTGTATAAATAACATTTTTACTGATGATGAGCCCTTACTAAATATTCAAATTTTAAATTCTGATCATTTGAAAAAATTGTTGTAGATCAAATGTTAAACTTTTTTAATGTAAATAAATTGCTCCGTAACATCACTTTGGTTTTACATCGGGTCACTCGATAACCGACACTGGTGTTGAGCTAATTAAACTAAAATATTTTTGTACAAGGGAGAATTCAGAGGATGCTTTGAGTATATTTTGTGACCTTTCCAAGGATTTCGAATGTGTTCACCATGAGATATCAATCATTAAGGTACATCATTATGGTGTAAAAACTTAGTGCTTAAACTCATTACATCATATGTAAATAATATGTAGAATGCAAACGGTTGTTATTAGTGTTTCTCATGGCTAAATTCTTGGCCAATTCCTGTCCTTTATATTAATGCGTTAAGCCATTAATATAAACTTAATTATATGTTCTAGTATTTTTTTTATAGGAGAGGGGGCAAACGAGCATGCGGCTCACCTGATGGTAAGTGACTACCGCCGCCCATGAACAACTGCAACACCAGGGAGGGAATAGCAGATGCGTTGCCGGCCTTTTAAAAAGGAGTACTCTCTTTTCCTGAAGGTCCCTAAGTCGTATCGGTACGGAAAAATCGCTGATGGTAATCGATTCCACAAGGAAGTCGTGCGAGGAAGAAAACATCTTCTAACTCGCACAGTGGTGGACCGCCAATCATCCAGATGGTGTGGATGGTATCGGGAGTTCTGCCGCGATGTGCGTTCGTGAAATTTGGCGGCTGGGATTAATCCGAACCATTCCTCAGAGCATTCCCCAAAATATTATAATAAGTACTTTGTAACGAATATAATGATATAGTTTTATTTGCTTGCTATTTGATTTTTCGACTGAAAAGACAATTATTAAAATATGACGAAGTGAATAATGCTATAATAAAAGTAGGACACTGGTTTAACTTCAATAATTTGCTTTTAAACAGTAATAAAACGAAATATGTTAAATTTACAACAGGTGAATACCAATGTGCTTTCAAATGGGGATGAGCAGTCTTGTTGAATCCGCTGTTTTTTTTCTGAATTAGAGTTCAGATTAGAGAGAATTAGAGAGAAGCTTCAATGGGACCCTCATATATCTAAACTAGCTAGCAACAAAAAGTTTAGGGGCCTTATATTTGTTGAAACAGCTAGATTAGTTTATTTTAGTTATTTTCATAGTATAATGTCATATGGAATCTTGCTATGGGGTAATGCGACTGGAATTGAAATTATCTTTGTTTTGCAGAGAACAAGAGCCATACGAGCGATTTGTAACCTAATTCCGAATGAATTCCTTAGAGAAAAATTTAAAAAAATCAACACATTAACTTTAGCCTTAATATATTTAAAGTTACTTTTACCAGTTACTCGACTCGCAAAGAGTCAGTAATTCCTTTATGGGGAAATGGATACGCTTTTACAACCAAAGTCTCAAATAATATGCAGGCCTATCAAAAATAGTACAAAATATTTATTAAGCAAAAATTGATTAGTAAGGGTTATTATACTACTAAATAGTAAATGATTGATAACAACCCCTGGGAATGAGGCTGGTGATCGCTGCCACGCTATTTCTAATTGTAAAATAATACATTGTAAATTGATTTTATTTAAAGTAATAAGACCCACTAGGTTTCTTGTTGGTCCTTCCCAGGATATAGGTCTTTACCGAACCAGAAGTATAAATGACTTAAATTTAGTATTCTTGTAATCTATATTGAAAAAATATGATTCTCTTCTATTCTAGGGTATTCTAAATGTGTGAGCAAAATTTGTTTAATTTTCTTTTGTATTTTATTCCTATTTGTATTTCATAACTTCTATTTTTGTTTTAATATTATAATGCAATGTGAAAAACGAAAAACTGGCTCCTGAAAACATGTACCTACATTTCCAGTTCATGGGTAAAAAGCAAAAGAAATAGTTAAATCTTTTATTGGAAACATTACTTTTTAATGATTGTTGTTTATCACTATATAATTAATACTAATGTTGTTTAAAGTGAAATTTTGTGTATAATAAAACAAATGTAAGCTTATACAATGAATTTTATTTAAAACTAAAATAAAAAAATATTCTTAAAGTACTACTATATAACCTACTATTTAAAATTATCATAAAGCCCTAATCTAACTGTTCCTTGAAGAAAACGGGTTGCATTTCAACACAAGAGCATAGAATCAATGAGTTAGAGTTCTGGTAGTCGCCGTGCTTCAAGCAAGGCACGTAAGTCTTCGCTTTGCCTTTGCACAAGCTCTACGAGTGTGCCAGTTATGTGAGCTTGTGTGCGGGCTACTTCAGCTTGCATGCGAGATGCCTCTGCCATCACCATTGCAGCATCGGCAAGCTTTTTTTCAGCCTCAACCCTTTTCTCCTCTTGTTTCATGACCCATTCCGGATCGACTTTAGACTGATCTGAAACATAGAAGAACATATAGATATATAAATATTGTTTCTATATATAAAAAGTTATACATACTCAAGTTAACTCACGAGTAAGATGATCTGCTACGTCTAAAGCGATGGGGTTCAGTAGGCCTTCGAATCACAGGACTCTACTCCTGCATTAAAATATTTTAATTTAAGAAAATTGCCTTGTATTTGTATTATATTGTAAATATAGGTATGATAAACTATTTATTTTTATACTGTTAATATTAATACTAAACATATACCATTCATCAGCATCATCAATACAGCCCTCACAAGTCCACTGCTGAACATAGGCCTCCCGCAAAGAATGCCACAAAGCATGGTCCTGAACCACCTACATCCATCGACTTCCTCCATATCTTACCAGGTCGTCACTCCATCTAGTGGGGGCACGCTCTACACTTCACCTACCTTTACGAGGCTGCCACTCAAGAACCTTCTTTTCCCACTGGTTGTCGGTTCTTTGAGCAATATGGCCGACCCATTTCCACTTCAGCTTACTTATCCGTTGAGCTATGTCAGTCACTCTGGTTCTACTACATATACCATTAATACTAAACAAATATAGGTAACCAGGACTATAAGTCCTGTAATCAACAATTTAAAAAAAAATATTATAATTATTGGTAAGGCACTTGAATGGTACTGTAATTGTTTATTGTACTTTCCGCTTGATCCTAAAAAAATAAATACCAGTTTGTGGTGGTTCAGGAACATTTTGCTAATGCTGTGTCTGTGTATCGGTGGTCGTAACTGGTGTGGAATCAGACACAGCTATTTCCGAAGTGTCTGTAAATATAAAACAGCAGTTGTATTACTCAAGATTATTTATATTCCTTGTCAGAGGTTTTATAGTAATATGAGAGGTTTCCAGACAATTACTGCCATTTGAAGTAGAGTGGTAAAATAGTACTCAAATAAATATTATTGTATTAAAAATATTATGTATATGTAAATATCAAGTAAATAGCTTTCTTTAAAATGTAAATAATAGCATGGGAGGTTTCTTGTTTCATAAAATAATAAGAAACTTACAAATCCTACATGTTTGCCCTCTTGTTGAAGGTGACTTTACAGTATCAGGAAATTGAACTGTTTCAATGTCAGGTTCAGTGGTCTAAAAAATAACATATCATAAAGGTTTCTTTTATTATATTTACAGGTTATAAGACATCCTATAAATTCTCACACAGTCATTCATTTTACATTTTAATCAAAAAGACAACAATCTAAACACTACATTTAACTATAATTATATATTTTACAAAAAAGTCAACTAAAAACATGATTTATCTACTGAACTCAATACACAATAACTTAAAAAGATTTTGTGGCTAAATTTTCCAAGCTATTCCTTTTCTATAGTGATTGATGATCACTCTTTAGTTTTTAAATAAAAAATAATTATCAATAAAATTATCTATGAACCACCATTATGTGTCAATTCATTTGTACATTCTTTGTACTAAAACTAAATGGTATGTTCAAGAGCAATGGGCACCATAGTAAAATATTTGTTATTTTAAAATAATGTGTATAGGCATAATTAAATATTTAATTACTTACTAATATAGGAACTCTGTGCTCACCGTCACCAAATACAGCTTGCTTTCCAATGATGGACAAGATTTTTTTGTCAGTCTCCGATAAATCATCTTGGCTACTTGGACCACCACCAGTTGCTGAAGAACCTTGCCTCCGTTTTGTAAGTCGACACTTACTTTTGTGTTTGAGATCAGCCCAGTACTGTGAATGCAAAAGTATTTACTTTAATAACACATGGTATTGTTAATGGCATGCAATTCTACAATTTAATTCAAAATTGTTTGGACCAAGCAATACTAAATATTATGTTAAAGCTTACCTTTTTCCACCGTTCACCGGATTTCGATGACCCAGATTCATGAGCATTCAGCTTTGTAGCAAGAATATCCCACAGTTTATCGACAGTTTCTTTGTATCTTGCTCCAAGACCAGCTCCTTTGGCTAAAGCGGGATGTTGGCCAAGAAACTTCAATAGGTCTTCGAGCTGATCGTTCGACACTCTATTTGCCATTTTATACTAAAAAGACGATATTAATCAATATAAATGAGATGTAGCAATTAATTACTTCATCAGTGCTATAACTTATATTTTGGTTTTAAAACACAAGATAGAACACGGAGAGAGAGACTCGTACTGTTTAAAATCAAATAACAATAGCCCCATGTTGCACAAAAGCAGGCCACTTAAAACAGACGCCACGCTATTTTTTTGCATTTTTCTTTCACATTTGGTTACCATTGTTACCATCTGTTTGACATTAAATACTTCCAGTTCTCACTACCAAAGACCAAATTGCGATTGTCGCTAGTGTAGTCGCGATAAGTGCATAGCGAGCGATTAGCAAGCGACCCCTTACGTAATACGAAACTTTTTTTAAACAAAGCGATTGATCGCACATGTACTTCGTGATTATTGCTAATTGCTAATTTTTACATAATAGCACTACCGATCAGCTTTAGCAAAAAGACTTAAAACGAATACTTTGAATATACCAGGACCTAAATCATTACCAGGCACAAGTATTCGATTGCCATATGTCATATTCGGTGACGAAGCTTTCCCATTAAAACCTTACTTAATGAGATAATATCCGGGAGCACAGTTGCAAGATGAATGCAATAAAATTTATAACTACAGGCATAGTCGTGCTCGAAGAGTATCCGAAAACGCATTCGGAATATTATGTCAAAAATTTAAAATTTACTATCGTACAATAAATCTAAGTCCAGAAAACGTTAATAACGTAATTCTCGCCACCTGCTGCTTACACAATGTTCTTAGAGATGATCCACTACATTTTAGTGACAAAAAAAAGGCCCACCGATCAATTACAGTTACTGGAACTTCCACGGATTGGTGGTAATTTTACTAGCAATACTTACGAAGTTGGAGATAAATTGAAAGAATATTTTAATTCTACTGTGGGATCATTATATTGGCAAACAGAAATGATTCGGCGAGGATCTCGCCAAAAAGAATAAATTACTTACCTTAATCATGATGTAAAGTGAAAAAGATGTGTAATTAGCGTTAGGTACTTTAAGTAAGAAAGCACGTGCAAGAGTCTCGACGAAATATTATATTAAACTACTTATTACCAAAATAAAATGTTTTTATCTACCAGATACTTCCAATAATACACCTATCTCATTCCATATGTTATATTTCCTGATCTGGTTCATATAATTTCGATTTTCCAAGTCATACAATTCAGGATACCCAATCACGAGATCAACTAATTTTTCCTCGTCCATCGTGCGTCGTCTTGCTCTCTCAGTAGTTGAACGCGAACTGACTGCAATATTTTGCCGCACCGCGCCGCTAGCCATACCGCACTAGCGGCAGAGGCGCGGAGCAGACAGCAGAGAGGCGCGGCGAAGTAAAATATTCTCTCGGGCCCAAGTCTGTCGCGCCGCGTCTATACACGCCCCGGCGTTCCGCTGTGTTGCGGTTTGAATCATAGTAATTAGTAGAAATAATATTTGGCCGCTCCCTGTCGCGCTGCGTCTCTCCGCGCCGCGCAGCCGAAGTGCGGTTTCAACTTAACGCTTCGTATAGTGGAATTTGCCGCAGTTGAGATGCTACCTTCAATCCAAAAAAATGAAACTCGTCTTCTTCGTTTCGGTTGTTTATCGCGGAAGATATATTTCGTAAGTGATTTAGTCTCAGCCACACCAACTGTTTCACCTATTTTTTTTTTACTTTTTTCATTTTCGTGAATAATTGTCAGATGAGTGTGATTTTTTTGATTATATTGTTGGTAATAAATAATTTGCGATGTTTGTTATCATAAAATCAGCAATAACTGCATCTCATTTTTCTTTTTTACTCTATGTGTTTATGTGTGGTAGGTGCAACAAGTGTAGCGTCGTAATAGTTCTACTGGTTGTTGCATATTCGACCGTACGTTACTCACTAGAGGGCGCACTGAAAACCAGCTTCGTGGATAATACCACGAAATAATGCTGAGTGTAGTCCTTTTATACCAAACCCGCACACATAACAAAAATGATTGTATTGATTTTATTTAGGTTTTAATTTTCTACATAACATTTACATATTGAGGGTTTTCCTATTTTAAATTGACGCAGCAACTGTCGCGAATCGAGATCGATTCGATAATACGAGACTGAAAATTTCGGGAATCAAGGAAGTGACACAACATTACTATTTAAAAATGTATTTATTGCTTTTCGAAGTATTCTCCGCGATTTGACACATTTTTCCATACGATGGAACCAATCATTGAAGCAACCATTCCATTCGGAAGTTGGGGTCTCCAAAATGGCCGTTTTGTAGGCATCCACAGCTTCTTCAGGTGATGAAAATATCTGTCCACGCAATTTATTCTTTACTAGCTGTTCCCCGCGACTTCGTTCGCGTGTTAGTGTTTTTATGTTTCTGCGCGGGACCCTGATTATTTTTCTAAAATAAAAGTAGCCTATTTTACTCCTTATGAAATCAGTTATCTGCCAGTGAAAGTCCCGTCAAAATCGGTCCAGCCGTTTCGGAGATTACCCGGAACAAACAGACAGACAGACAGACAGACAGACAGACAAAAATTTTAAAAATTGTATTTTAGTTATAGGTATCGTATTTACTTTCATATGCATTTAGTAAAAAACTGTAATTTTGACATTACAAACAGACACTTCAATTTTATTTATTTGTATAGATATTTGTATAGATTTTAGGGAAAGTATAGAAATCATTAGGGCTTAGGTCGGGGCTGTACGGCGGATGTTCTAATAATTCTATGTTTTCTTGCTCTAAAAACTCTTTTGTTCTGTATGCGGTGTGAGAACTCGCATTGTCGTGATGGAGGATCATGCGGCGGTTGCAGTTCTCTTTACGGAGACTTTACTGCTGATGATGAAGATATAATAGAAAGTGACACGAAAGCGGAGCTATGTGATGAAGACTGTGTTTTAGAATCATCACATAATACCGACACGGAACAGGAAGGAAATGATACAGAACTAAAAGCAGCGCCCCTGGGTTTGATACCCCGATCGCTGATGTTGAAAAAATTTTTCGCCTGAAAAAGTGGCGGGTAATATGGCCACTCCCTGAAAAAGAGGTATAATATGGCGTATGCAAGTTTTGATCGAATGTACATCTTGTATAGTCTCAACTTTGTTTTAAGTGGTAACTTGGATGCCAGGACGGGACGGAGCGCCGCCCGCGCACATCTGGCGTTGCGGACGACGAGATCGACGTGCGCGGTCATGCGCAGCATCCGATCTATCCGGCATCCAAGGTAAGTAGCGGCCTTCTGATACTTGATCTCCTGGCCCCTGAGCGTCAAAGGTGGTGGGAAGTTCCTGAAGCGGCGAGTGAGCTGAGCGGTCGTCTTGCCAACATTGACGGCCATCCTCCACTCATCCAGCCATGATGGCAGCAGGTCCAGCAGGCGCTGCATCCTGGCAGTGGCTATGTGGGCTCTTCTAGACGATGTGAAGTAGGCACTATTGTCCGCGTATAGTGCTAACATCGTCTTCCCATTCGCGCAGGTGGTCTGCCAGGGTGGGGATGTCATTGGTGTAAGCCGCATACAGGATCGGCGACAGACAGCTGCCGTGTGGTACGCCGGCTCTTATTGGTCTCGCTGCGGACTCGGCGTCCTCTACACAGATGTAGAACTTCCTATCTCTGAGGAATGACGCCACTAGCCGCGACATAGCAGGAGGGGTACTTGTTTGAGTTTCTAATTTGTAAAGCAGTCCAGAGTGTCTCTATGTCGAGAAAGACGCCCAACGAAGTGCGGCCGCGGTTGTACTCGGCCGCAAGATAGTGCAGCACCCTGGTCAGCAGTGTTGCTGTTCAGTGGTCCCTCCTGAATCCGTGCTGTTCCACCCGAAGTTGTACGCACGGGCGGAAGCTTCTTAGCAGCAATCTTTCGCACAGTTCAGCTATGTGCGGTAGCAGCGTGATCGGCCTATAACTGGCTGCTCTACGCCTGTCCTTCCCGGGTTTCGGCAGTACGATCACTTTGCCGATTTTCCAGTCCTCCGGGAAGTAGGATGTCCGTAGTATACTATTGTAGAGTCGACCTAGCTCTACAAGTGTTCTGTTGGGCAGCTGTCGGAGTGCTGCGTTGGTTATCCCGTCGTGCCCCGGCGCCTTCCTCGTTTGCAGGCGGGCTACTGTCCTCCGCAATAGGGCGGGGTATATAAACCACTCTCCTGCAAGCGGTGGCGCGGGCTTCGACAGGAACTCCAGTACGTGGCTCTCCTTCTGGGTATGAAGTTCCATGAACTCCGCACTTGCTGGGTTCGGCATAAATTGCTCCTCGAAGTGCTCTGCTAGGATATCCGCTCTACCTTTGGCCTCGTAACAACGCTCGCCCGTGTTGTGTTGATCAGCGGGCAAACGGGTGGTGTGTTTTTAGTTAACTGCCGGTTCAGTTTGTAGAACGACGCATCCTGCTCTTCCGCTTTCGATATGCGCCGCTCCCAGGCCTCTCCTCAGTGGGCCCGGACTGCAACCGACAGTTCATCAGTTAGTTGGTTTAGCCTGGTCTTGTTTCTTGGGCAGCGAGAACGCGCCCAGCGCTTTCTCAGTGCTTTTTTCCGGTTAAGTTGCACACGTATATCCGGCGGCAGCTCTTCCCTTCTATGGGTTATTGGTACAATCGTAGAGGCCGCGTGTAGGGCTTCTTTGATCGTATTTGTTATTCTTGTAGCAGCGGCCTCTACGTCGTCCGCTGAGTTTATCGGCGTAACTACTGGAGGTCTCTCCTGCGGGTGTTGGTGGTAGAGCCTCCAGTTTATCTTGGTTTTAAAAGCTCTGGGCGGCGTAGTCACCGCCTTGAGGCCAAGGGTGATTAGAATCGGGAGGTGCTGAGACATCAGGTCGTACAGCACCTCTACCACTACCGGGTAGTTGACGTTCCTAGAGAGCACGAGTCCAATACATCCGGACGTTTTCTGTGATCAGTAGGTACGTGAGTTGGTTCTTCGGGACCTAAAACGTCATAATTGTTGTTTTCCGCATCTTCATAGAGCTCA